CTGTGAATTGTTGGAAAGTATAACTCCAGCCAATGCACATAACTGTTGGAGACTTATCTTTACTGCTGTACCAACTGGCCAGGAAAGTTTTACCATCCAATTGTATGCAGTCAGATATTCAGCAAAGTGGAGTAGTGGTGTTACAATTTTTCTACTATAGCAAAGTGCCAACACTTGAATGTCTTCTGCTAATGTCTTTTTCCACATGGCTCATCCTTTGGAGGTGAGGAAGATGTTAACTAAGGCGGGGTCCCCCTTCGCAGCAGTGGTTATGGAAAGGCCTTCCCAGGAAGGCTCACATACAGGGCTGTTCTAAGACATTTTGCTGTGTGAGCCAGAGAAGCACATGCATCTCCCCCATCCCTGTCACGATTATGGTGCATCGTACAAGTCATATTATTTTGGCATGGCCTCAAATAATATGTATGATATTGCCAGTTCTGTTCATCGATAAATAGTAAAAGTCGAAACATAAATCAAAACTTAGGAATTTCATATCTTTTCATGACACCTCAAATCTGCTGTCTGAGATGGCCTCCTCGCTGTCTAATGTTACGCCTGGCCCTGGTCCAATGATACCAGCATTATGATTTTATAGACCCCAGGCAAAATCTTTTATAATTACCCATGCTTTTTAAGTATAATATCTCTATCATCTTTTATCTACTGTTTTTATCTCTGTGTTTTATCTCTGTGTTGCTGGGGATTGTTTTTTTTTTTTATCATTGTATCGTGGTGAACTGCCCTAAAATAAAATTTCAGTGCGGGGTGGAATATTTTAAAGAAATAAAATACTTGGCAGGATGATACATCCAGCTTACTAAATAGCTGCATGCACTCTCCTGGAAACTTTTATTTCATAGAACCTATCTCTGTATGTAAATTTTCTCTGTATGTATAACCAAAACAGTCCATGGACCTTATCACACGGGGGTCTGAAGTGGTGCCATCCCCGTCACTTCCCGGTCCTATCGCGCTTCCTGCCACCGCTGATCACACGACGTTGCAAGTTAACCCCGCCCATCCCCGTCACTTTCCGGTCCTATTGCGCTTCCTCCCCCCAGCTGATCACACGACGTCACGCCCATCCCCGTGCCATCCCCGTGCCATCCCCTTCCCAATGCGGATCCATGTGCATCATCCGGAATTATCCCCGTTCTTTTTAATTTCGGTTCGGACTGGGAATTGCATTTCCCGCAAAAGGGGAATCTGTAAAAGGAAGCGCGATAGGATGGGGATGGGACGGGGATGGCACTGCTTTAGACCCCGTGTGATAAGGTCCCATGCTAGGAGCATCTCTAGCAATTTCCTGCAACAGAAGTTTGCCTGCTGTGTCTGCTTTTCAAGTCTGCCCGTATTGTTTTTTAAAAAAATTTTTTTGCTTAAAATATTTTATTTTATTTTATTGCTCATCCCTTTTGTGCCCTGGATTTATCTGACTTTTCTTTGCTATGATACAACCAAACTTTCATATTCAGTCATGTATGCAGAGAACTCGTAATACTGTTTTTTGCAAAGTGGTGTTTTGATCAGACCTATCTGTCCATTTTAGGATCGGAAAAGGAGATAGACAAAAGAAGTTGACCAATACTTGGTTCCAAGAGCCCCTTAAATCTAGCTCTCATGTGTGGGTGTAGGCTATGATCCCTTGTTGGGTCTGGAGCCTCATGGATGCTCATGCCAGATAAAGGGAACAAAGGGAGCATCCACAATGCAGAAATAATCCATGTTGACACCACATTAACTGCCATGGTTTATTGCTTTAGAATTCTGGGAACTGTAGTTTGTTGTGGCAACAGAGAAGTCTAAATATCTCACAGAACTACAGTTCCCAGATTTCTATGACAGTTAAAGTGGTGTCAACCTGGATTATTTCTGCAGTGTAGATGCCTTCCAAGAGATTAAAGAGATCATTGCACTGTTTTTCTCCTGATCTGGGCACGGGCTGAGACCGGGCTGGGACCATGTGTTATTGCACACCTCCCTGCCCAGATCATAATCATCCCATTCCCAATCAGAACGTCTCCCATTACATTGCTAAGAACAGAAAAGTGTTTTTAGCTAAGTACAGGAGAAGTATGGGATGGTACGGATCTGGGCACGCAGCTATGTGATAAGACACAGTCCCAGCTCAGTCTCAGATTGGGAAAAGACAGCCAGTGCAATAATCTCCTAAGTAACTTCTTGAGAGAAAGTGGGGAAGGTAGATAAGAAGGTAAGGAAGGTTTGCAGGTAAGAAGGAAGAAGCAAAAGGCTTGCATATATAGACGAAAGAATGAGACAGAGAGGTGAAAATAAGAGCAAGCACTATCTAGATTCTAGACACTCTTCTCTCACTAATCACTTTAAACAAGATTTGATACATCATAACTTCCAAAACTACTTTTGTTCTTTTTTCCAGAATGCATTCCAGAATGAGGCAATATATATGCATATATCCGTTCCCAGGAAATGAATAGTAGCTGCCTCTGTCTCCTTCTCTTTCTCTCTCTCTCTGGATTTTGTTTTTCATCTCCTAAAGGAGAAATTGCTGTTCCTAGTACATTGGCTCCCACTCAGTAAGGAATCTATTCCTCTTAATTTATGCACATTACTTGAGAAAATGCACACTTGTGTTTATTGCAACCCACATATTCCTCTGCAAAACCTTATGAATGAGGGCCTGTTTCAGGAGGAAAGTGGAGATTAAAATCAATGTACTGGTGCCAAAGATCAGGCCTTCATTTATTGATGTTCCTTTGAAAAATGCAGTTTCTTAATCTGTATTCTTGTCTTTCCTCAAATTTGGGGTGTTTGCTGCCTGTGACTGCATAGAGAGAGCCATCTGTAGCCTTTCTAAGTCATTTGGTGAATGCTTTCTAATGTTTTAATTGTAGTAAATTGGAATTATTATTTCCCAGAGCAGCACAATGATGAAAATATGCACTTGGATTGGGGTAAGGCCTTCACATAACTCATTAAAAAACAAGCTTGGGTTCCTTCAATAAGGAAAAGAGAGAAGAGAAATTGCATATATTAGTGGCTATTGTCTGAGCTCATTGTGACAATATCCAAGCAGTTTACTGAGTGGCTTTGGAGAAGTGCCTTGGTCTAA